ACTGTGGCACAATGTTGACCCCCTTATTGAAGTATTATGTAGCTGTCCTTCATTTTTTGTCTATATCAGATATGTGTATTGTCAGCAATAAAATAATTTGTTATTGCAGTTAGATGTTTTGCCTTACCATTGAAATATTATCACTTTGGATTATTTGGGTATGAGAATCTATTTGCACACTAGCCAGTGAAGTTGTAGTAAGAGACCCAGGAGGGCTCACCTCTCCAACAAGGTCCAGTAGGAGTCGGGTGGGTTGGATAAGTGATAACAGTCTCTGTGCCCTGATCTGCCAGCAAGTAAAGCTGACTTACTTCCTTTACTGCTCACTGCTGTGCAGTCTGCTGATTGCTGAGGCAGCTGCTTTGTAGGTGCTTTGTACTTGAATTGTCTTTACTTTTCCACTTCAAAGAAATGGTTGGAGATAAAATAACACAAGGAAAAACAGCCAACCACCCAAAACTATGAGTTAGATTATCTGTGACTTGCTGCTCCTGGTGTACTGTTCAATCATTGATTGATTGAATTCTGCATCCTTTCTTGTTTCAGCGTTTTTACAAGAAGGAAACAACAAACAAGCATCTTATTTTTTTTAAATCACAAAGATTGGTGATTCTTCAGTCATTTAGTGCTGCAAGGCAATTTTTTTTTCTTCACACTCAGATACCTTTATACATTTTTAATCCTTACTGTAAATGAAGTGATTTTTTTCTTCAGGCAACATTTTATGTGAAGCTGTTGAAAGCTTTTTAAAAATGTTTCTTTTGGCCCAGGAGTGCAGTGGAGGATGGCCCAAGTGCTTGGGCCCTGCACCCGCATGGGAGACCAGGAGGAAGCACCTGGCTCCTGGCTTTGGATTGGCACAGCCCGCTGGCCGCAACATGCCGGCTATAGCGGCCACTTGGGGGGTGAACCAATGGAAAAGGAAGACTTCTCTCTCTCTTTCTCTCTCTCTCTCTCTCTCTCTCTCTAACTCTGCCTGTCAAAAAATAAATAAATAAAAAATAAAAAAATGTTTCTTTTAATGATTACATATCTTCAGGATTTTTAAAAAGGATTTATTTATTTATTTGAAAGGCAGAGTTAGCAGAGAGAGACATAGAGAATCTTCCATCCACTGGTTCACTTCCCAGATGGCTACAACTGCTAGGGCTGGGCCAGGTGAAAGACAGGAGCCCTGAACTTCATTTGGGTCTCTCACATAGGTGATAGGGGCCAAGCCTTTGGGCTATCTTCATTGCTTTCCCAAGCACATTAACAGGAAGCTGGATCAGAAGTGGAGAAGCTGGGGCTTAAACTGGCACTTGTATCAGATGCTGGTGTCACAATGGCAGCTTAACCTGCTGTGCCACAATGCCAGTCCCTATTATGAGAATCTTAATTGGGATATTTGTATTAAAATTGAAAAGCAGAAAGATTTCTGGTAGAATATAAAATGTTAAAACAAGCAGTTTCCACTTTCTTAAGTGTTTTTCTGTCAAGAATTCTTAATGTCTTTGTAGGATGCACAAATATATGACAAGACCATATGATAGTTCCTATTGTAAGTCATGCCTTCTATGATTTGTTCAAAGTTTTGCTTACCACTTTGTTGAGATCAGTAGAGGAAGATGTTTGGCTCAATTGTGTAATATAAATTCTACATTCTAAAAATACAGAAACACTATGAAAAGTATGTGATTTTAAAATGGTATTTTATTTTTTCTTATTTCTTATTTATTTTTGTAAAAATGATATTTTAAAACTAAAAGCAAATAGATAGGCAATTGAGTTTGAATCTTTAGTTGTTATTTAGTAGGCAATTAGTAGATTATCTTGATTAGTATAGTTTATAAAAATATATCAGATTAACCATAATACTATTTAGTAATCTGAATTCAGAAAAATTAGAATTTCTAGTTTATATGATTATGTACATGGTCTTACATTTTAACCCCTTCATCACTGTTTTTATGTTGGGTACAGATTACTTGATCTTTTTGAGACTCAGTTTCCTGCTTATGAAAATGCAGGGAATATTAGCTTTCTCACTGGATGTAGTAAATGAAATGACAAATGTTTACTTAGCAGTTTCTGGGCACATTTTAAGATTTATTATTTCAGTATGTAGTTTTAACTGTATAATTTATGTGAATGTGTAGTATATCTTGTTAATAATTACTTGATTGGAGTTTCTGGGTTGCTGGGTTTTGAAACTTGCATATTAATATATTAATAATATTTGGATTAGTATATATTGTCTGTGCTTTCATTTTTCCTGAGCCTCTTGAGTGATGAAGATTTACTATTTGTAATTTTTGTGACAGTTGTGAACACTGTTGCAGCTTTCCATCTCACTCCTGTTTTGGGACCAGGCAGATGCAGCTTCTGGGTCAAAAATCAGAAAGAGGAAAGGAAAGTCATGATTAAAAGGCTCAAGTAGGCCAATTTTTTTATAAAACAATGACTTAAATGCTTCTTGTCTTACATTTGAAACCTGTACTTGGCTTCTTGTCCTCAAAAAAATTATATAGTTGATAATAAGGCTTTATTTGACAATATTTCTATTACATAGATTTTAGAATCCATATTGGAATAGAAGTAAATTTAAGTAGCAATATGTAAATACTGTTTCTTAAAATATTTGATTTAAAAAATAGTTTTAATAAAAAATTACAGTCCCTTAAACTACCATTCTTTGTCAAGCTGTCATTGTCAGAGGCAAGAATTTTCAACTCTTAGCTTTTTCTGTGATGTATATTTCCAAATAATAAAATTCTATGGCTATTTGCTTTTAAAAATTTTTCTAATTTATTTGAAAGGCAGAGTACAGATAGATCTGTCTGCTGGTTTACTCTCTAAATGCCTGCAAGTAGCAGACTGGGTTGGGCCTGACTGAAGCTAGGAGCCACTGCTCTACCTGGGTCTCTCAAATGGGGCAGGGACCCAAGTACTTAGGCCATCTTCCACTGCTTTTTCAGGCACATTAGTGGGGAACTAGATCAGAAATGGAGCAGCCAAGACTCAGCCTGACGTAAGGGATGCTGCTGTTGCAAGCTGTGGCTTAACCTACTGTGCCACAATACTGGCCTTTGGTGACCTTTTAAAATCTGGCAATTACATTGATAATTCAGCATACTTGAATATCATGTAGTACCTGAGATTCTTTTAAATCTAGTTGTCCTAGAATATTTTTTGATGCAATTTACTTATTGTTTCCCTTTTATCCCCATTATCTTTAGTTGCTTTATTCAATTTTTGTAATGTTTTCCTTGTGTTCCTCTAATTTTCTCATATTTTCTATTTTTACTTGTCTTTTAATTTTACTTTCTTTATGTGGAATTTTTCAACATTGTTTTTCTAAATCTTCTGTTGAATTTTTATTTCTTATGTCATATTTTTAATTTCTTATTCTCTGAATATATCCCCCTTGACATCTTGATCTTGTTCCAATGGTGTAATTTCTTTTTTATCTGAGGATATTAGTTCCTTTTCATATTTTGTTTTTTTCTTGTTTCCTTTATTTTTATTTTTTCTGAGAGTTTTTTTTTTTTAATTTTGATTTTTTCAGGTTAAAGGCCTGTTATAGTTGTGTCTTAAATTTGAGGTGCTTCAAACAGTTCATGGAAAATTAAATGAAAAGTTTATTTTCATGCAAAATATTTAAAAATCTATGTAAGAGGATTATGGAAAAAAGGCATTATGAAAAAGCAATGTATGCATTTTAAGATCTTTTCACGCTAAAATAAAGTTGCCATTTCATTCCATTTTTCATGAATTGTTTGAAGTACCCTAATAGTAAGTTTCATAGCAGCACTTACCATAGGCATGTGTGTTCAATGCAGAAGTAATATTGAATAGTCTGATTCTGAAAACTACTTTGTTTTTACATTTTTCTTTCTTTTTGCATGAGAAACTCAAATGAGAATCATGGAAATAAAACCAGAAAATGCGTATTTTTTTTAAGGTTTCATGTGGGCCCTGACCTATCCTTAATCATCAGATAATGTATTTTTAAGATTTTATGTTAGCTTACTGTCTCTAAGTATGAGTCAAATGATTGTAGGAATAGTGATTAGGGAACACAGTATATGTCAATGACTGTCAGAGACACTAAGCCAGTACTGGCTACTGTTAACAACAAAAGAGCTTCTTAGGTTTTAACATTTTGTATTTTAAAAATTATGCTTGTTGGGCCAGTGCCGCGGCTCACTAGGCTAATCCTCCGCCTTGCGGCGCCGGCACACCAGGTTCTAGTCCTGGTCGGGGTGCCGGATTCTGTCCCGGTTGCCCCTCTTCTCTGCTGTGGCCAGGGAGTGCAGTGGAGGATGGCCCAAGTCCTTGGGCCTTGCACCCGATGGGAGACCAGGAGAAGCACCTGGCTCCTGGCTTCAGATCCGCGCAGTGTGCCGGCTGCAGCAGCCATTGGAGGGTGAACCAATGGCAAAGGAAGACCTTTCTCTCTGTCTCGCTCTCTCTCTCTCTCTCTCTCACTGTCCACTCTGCCTGTCAAAAAAAAAAAAAAAAATTATGCTTGTTGACATTGGGTGAATTATATCTTTGGTACACATTTTTTATTTTTAGAGTTAAAGGAAATTCTGGCTGTTAAATTTAAATATCTAAATCAGTGTCCATTTCACTAGCCATTTGTGGCTGTTCAGCTTTAGATTACAATGAAATAAAATTAAAATTTACTTTAATTCAAAATTAAAAATTCATTTCCTATTTCGTACTACCACATTTTTCTGCTTAGTAGCCTCATGATACGGCACTGCTCTAGAGCCTTCCCAGGTTGGCAGTTGATGTGAAGCTGATAATTCATGCATATATCAAAGTGCCTGAGAAGCTCAGGGAGCTTACCAAAAGTTGAATTTTCAGTATCATTATTGTCATATGTGCACTCAGTTTCTTTTTAAAGCTTCAAGTTTTGAGAAGAATGTTTCTTAAATGAATTAAAATTGTGACAATTGGTTCTTTTGTTTGACTTCTCTGGGTTAACTTTTAATTGTTTCTCTTCTCCCCAGACAGTGCAATGCTTACTAGACAGTGGTGCTGATATTAATCGACCAAATGTCTCAGGAGCCACTCCGTTGTACTTTGCTTGCAGGTATGCTATTTTGTATTGAGATTTTTCTTATTAAAGAATGTTGTCTCTTGCCCATATTTCCAAATGCAAACATTTCTATATATGTTCTAAAACCCTTGTTTTCCCACAAAACAGGAGGATTATGGCCTGTTAATTAACTATATGAGAAAAAGTATTTTTTTATTTAATTGCCAATTTTTAAAATTACAGATAGGAGCTTTTGATATACTTGATTTCAATTTTAGACTAATTTTTTAAAGCTTTTATTTGAAAAATGTTTTAAAATCACACAAAAAACTGTGAGTTCTCATATCCTCAACACCACATGCCTGCCACTCCTCTCCCAGCCTCTAGTAATCAACACCTTGTGTCAGAGTTTTTCTTTCTTTTTTTTTTTCTTAAAATTTTAGCTCCCACATATAAGAAAGAACATGCAATATTTGTCTTTCTCACTCAACAAGGTGTCCCCATGTTGCTGCAAATGACAGGATTTCATATATATATATATATTTTTTTTTTAACAGGCAGAGTGGACAGTGAGAGAGACAGAGAGAAAGGTCTTCCTTTTGCCGTTGGTTCACCCTCCAATGGCCGCCACGGCTGGCGCACTGCAGCCGGCGCACCGCGCTGATCCGAAGGCAGGAGCCAGGTGCTTCTCCTGGTCTCCCATGGGGTGCAGGACCCAAGTACTCGGGCCATCCTCCACTGCACTCCCGGGCCACAGCAGAGGGCTGGCCTGGAAGAGGGGCAACCGGGACAGAATCCGGTGCCCCGACCGGGACTAGAACCCGGTGTGCCGGTGCCGCAAGGCGGAGGATTAGCCTAGTGAGCCGCGGCACTGGCCAGGATTTCATTTTTTAAGTGGCTGAATAGTATCCCATTGTGTATATATACCAATTTTTCTTTATCCATTCATCAGGTGATGGACACCTTGGTTGATTCCGTATTTTGGCTATTGAGAACAGTGCTGCTAATAAACATGGTTTAGTAGGTATCTTTTTGGTACAATCAGTTCATGTCTTTTGGGTATACGCCCAGTAGTGAGATTGCTTGATCATATGGAAGTTCTGTTTCTAGATTTATTTTTGTAAAGATTTATTTTATTTGTTTGAAAGATAGTTACAAGCCGGCGCCGTGGTTCAATAGGCTAAGGTGCTTATCCTGGTCTCCCATGCAGGTGCAGGGCCCAAGCACTTGGGCCATCCTCCACTGCACTCCCGGGCCATAGCAGAGAGCTGGCCTGGAAGAGGGGCAACTGGGACAGAATCCGGCGCCCTGACCAGGACTAGAACCTGGTGTGCCAGCGCCGCAAGGCGGAGGATTAGCCTAGTGAGCCGCGGCGCTGGCCTTGTTTGCAGATCTTGACACTTTCTTACTGAAGTTTTTCTCTCAGTCTGTCCCCTCAGTCTAGTTTTCTAAGTAGCACCCTTTACTAAACAAGATGGTGTCTCCAGCCTGGGGTGCTGGAGTAAGAGCAGTGGCAGCAGTGGTGTGCTTTGTCTGCCTGTCTGTCTTTCTCTCTGTCTCATGTTTTTTTAGAATCTTTGCATTGTTTGCAGTTCTTCTTGGTTCTTTGATGAAGCATTCCTTTAGCCCATCGCCTCAGTTCTAAAATGTTGTATGTAGAACTTTTTTCCGTCAGTATAGTGTCCCCTGGCCAAGGTGCAGTGTGATTTGTTTCTGTCTCTCTCTCTCTCTCTCTCTCTCTCTCTCTCTCTCCCCCTCTTGCTGATAGTTTTCAGAGTCTTTGTGCTGTTTATAGTTTCCATCACTTCTTTTCTGAAACTTTCCCTTAGACTTCTGGAAATACAATTCTTCCCTTGTTGTTCTGACACTTTTCTGGCTGAGGTGGATGCTTATTCTCTATTCAACCATCTTGATATCTCCAACACCAACATTCCCTAGCTACTTGTTAACCAAAAAAAACCAGTAATCTAGTAATTCCCATAATTCTCTTTATTAAATAACCAGATCAGTTCTATATTTTGGCTTAGAGCCATGTCTTTCCTTTTGCTGTGTCTATTATGCTTTTAAAAATTTGAATTAGTCTTATTAGATATTGAGTTATACATTATGTTTGTATATCTGGATTCATTTTCTTGAAGTATATATTTTATTAATTTTCTATATAATTGTTCATGTAAATGGCAAACATTTAGCTAGCATTCAGTGGGTGCCATACATTGTTAGAGGCTTAGGTGATGCAATAAGTAATAAATCTCACTTCCCAAGGAGCTAGCTATATTGTATGTATGTATATGCACCTATACCTACACATAGATATGTACACACACATACATATATAATGTTATGTTACCTAAGTGTAGTTGCAGTTGGAATCGGTGTACAAAATATTATAGTGATTTTTCTCTTTTATTTAGGTGAAATGAATTGTATTTCAGTTATTAGATTTAAGAGTTCTTACATATAAGAGATTTCTAGATCTTTTCTAAATCCATCCATTGTCTTACATTTATATTGATAATTTGGCTGCTTGACTGGAAAACCAGTTCTTTCCATAGCATGCTGAATTTATGAATCATACCATTGATTTCCTGAGATCACATCCTGTCTTATGGGGTTATCTTTAGATCTGACCTTTCTTTGAAGCTCCAGATTTGAATGTCCTCCTGCTTGACTTACATCATCCCTTAGAAGTCTCATAAAATGTCAGATGTTAACATGTTCTTATTTTTCTTTTTAAACATTTACTCCAGCTTTCCTCTTCTAAATTCAGTGGAACCCTTACTTTCCCAATTGTTTAGATAAGAAACTAGATTATTATTTTCTGTCTCTCTCTCTGTCTCTTTGAATTTGGAATTTGTTAGTAAGTTCTATAAATTCAGCCTTCAGAGTATGTTCTGAATCTCTACTTCTCTCCAACTCCCTGACACCACTTTAAAGTTTCAACCTCTTACCTATAGCAGACTCTCACTCTCTCTCTCTCTTTTAAAGATTTATTTATTTATTTGAAAGAGTTACGAAGAGAAAGAGAGAGAGGTCTTGCATCCGATGGTTCACACCCCAATTGGCTGCAATGGCTGGAGCTGCGCCGATCCGAAGCCAGGAGCCAGGAGCTTCTTCCGGGCCTCCCATGCCGGGAGGCCCAAGGACTTGGGCCATCTTCTACTGCTTTCCCAGGCCATAGCAGAGAGCTGGATCTCAAACCAGCGTCCATATGGGATGCCAGTGCTTCAGACCAGGTGGCGCTGGCCTCTTTCTCTCCCTCTTTCTCTCTCTCATTTTAAGAAAGCTTTTATTTAATATAGCAATCTCTTAAATAGGCTTACTGATGCCTTTGCTATTTCCTGCCAGTGTATTCGAACATCAGCACTCATGTTAATCTAGTAAAATGAATCAGCTATTATCACTTTATGTTAGTTTTTTAAAGATTTATTTATTTGAAAGGCAGAGTTACAGAGAGGCAGAGAGATCTGGTCTTTCCATCTGCTGATTCACTCCCCAAATGGCTGCAATGGCTGGAGTGGGGCTAATCTGTAGCCAGGAGCCTGGAGCTTCTTCCAGGTTTCCCACGTGGATCAGGGGCCCAAGGACTTGGGCCATCTTCTGTTGCTCTCCCAGGCATATCAGCAGTGAGCTAGATTGGAAATGGAGCAGCCGGGACTTGAACTGGCGCCCATATGGGATGCTGGTACTGCAGGTGGTGTCTTTACCCACTATGCCACGCCATAGCACCGGCCTGCATTTTATGTTTAAACTCTGTATTTAAAACTTTTCCTTGCCTCTAAAATATTTTTTTTTCTATTCATTCAAGAAGCAGAGAAAGAGAGAAAGAGATAGATAGAGCTCCTATGTGCTGGTTCATTCCCCAAATGTCTGCAACAAGTGAGGCTGGACCAGCACAGAGCTGTGAGCCAAGAACTCTCAACCCAGTCTCCCACATGGGTAATGGATACCCATCACTTGAGCCTCCCGGAGTCTGTATTAGCAGAAGGCTGGAATCAGAAGCCAGGGCTGGGACTCAAACTCAGTTCTCTGATATAGGATGTGAATGTCCCAACCAGTCACTTAACTTCTAGGTCACTTGCTTGTCCCTTTAGTGCTTCTTTGTTGCGTTTCAAATAAAATACAAAATCTGTCTTGGCCTGTGAGACCCAAAGGTTCTGAACCCTGCTTGCTTCTTGTGCTTTAGCCATGTTGGCTCTCACTGAGTTCCTTAAATGCAGCCAACTCTTTGCTTCAGGTTTTCCACATGAAATTTGTTTTGTGTGCAATGTTCTTCCCTAGGCTTTCTATGTGGCTGACTTCTTATTCTCCTTGTCACTGCTAACTGTTACTTTTTAGGAAGACATTCCTGGACATTCCTGATCAATCTACGTAGGCATTTCCCCACATTTTTTCTTCTTTTTTCTTTTCTTTTCTTTTTTTTTTGACAGGCAGAGTGGACAGTGAGAGAGAGAGAGAGACAGAGAGAAAGGTCTTCCTTTTTCCTGTGGTGCACCCCTCAATGGCCACTGCGGCCGGCGTGCTGATCCGAAGCCAGGAGCCAGGTGCTTCTCCTGGTCTCCCATGGGGTGCAGGGCTCAAGCACTTGGGCCATCCTCTACTGCCTTCCCGGGACACAGCAGAGAGCTGGACTGGAAGAGGAGCAACCAGGACAGAATCCGGTGCCCCAACCGGGACTAGAACCCGGTGTGCTGGCACCGCAGGTGGAGGTTTAGCCTATTGAGCCGCGGCACTGGCCTTTTACCCACATTTTCTGTCATAGCCTCATAGTCATTTTCTTGTGATTATTTACTTGTTTATAGTCTGTTTTCCCTATATGACTGAAAGCTCAATGAAAGCAGTAGTTTTGTTTATTTTATTTACCACTTGATGTCCAGTGCATTTAGATGCTTAGTAAATATTTTTCAATCACTATAATTACATGCTTGAAAAATATTCAAAAGGTACTGTTTATAATAGTTAATAATATAGGTGTATTAGTGTTATACAGACTGGGATATTCCTGTAGTCTGAATACAGGGATTCTGAAAAGAATTTTTTAGAAGTGCTTTCTG